CTGTGATTTCTTCTTGAGGACTGCCCATGAGGGCCCGATTTGGCTGCATTTTTTATTCTTTGTAAAAGTTCCTGCTGGCTTCTTGTTTCCGAGATCCAGTATCTGAGGAGAGCATCCTTCTTTTGTCCCTCAATTAAAAGCTTTCTTAACACTTCGAACTGCTGCTTATCTACTGCTCGCTTCCATCCACTGGAAAGGCAGGGTAATGGAAATCATATTTGAGAGGGGTAGCTTCTGGTGCATCAGAAGAACACTAAGAAGTAATTTCCTAAAATAGGATGTTGTTAATATCAGCAGTAAAGAGAGGCTTAGAAAAATATCCACTGTCAAAAGACAAAGAAAGGTGAGAAAGCAAATTGCTGGCTTTTGGTGTGCATGTCATATCATAGCACAGACTGGAGTTTTCCTGAAGAAATTGCTCTCTGCAAATAATGGGAACCCATAATAGTATCACTGCTGAAGCCAGGAGAAAGTTAATGTGAAAAGGTTATGAGGGCCAGACAGTAAGCCAGGAATCAGGTTGGGCATGCAGTAGAATCCCAGGGCCAGGGCTGCCATCTGCTTCAGTCACTAGTCACATAACTGAACAAGTTCCCAAACCTGTATGAACCTAGGTCCCCTGAATAAAAAGACACCCCATTTTGCTGAGGGAGTTTAGATGTGATAGCATGTATTAATAGAGCTGAATGGAGCTCAGAGGAATGTAATCTTTTTACCAAAGGGCAGTTCCCCAAGATCCCTCTCTGTGGTAATTATGACTTATTTCCTCACAGCATTACATGCTAACCTGGTTGCCATTTTAGAGTAAAGATTATACTAGTCTAGTAGCCAAGGAAACTAACTGAGTAGAACAATACAAAGGTAGCTAGGCCTATGGTAATCATAATAGAATTACTTAACACTCCTTAATCGATGGAGGAGGGGAGAGTCTTCACCCAGGATTCCAGAGATCACTCCTTACCCTGCTGCAAGTAGTCTTGGGAGATGCTTGAGTGCATAGGAAGTGAAGGGTTAACTGAAAGGGGAAATGAGCTTCCATCAGGCTGATATATCCATGATGAGGTAGGACTTTATGGTGATGCAGCTGTTTTGGGGTCACTCATGCTCCTGTAAGCAACCCTTCACCTGTGTTCTGCAATCAAGCCAGACAACTTGATGCATTGGTTCATCAAACTGGACTTTTGTGGAATCACTACTTTGGTCTATTGGTGCCCTATCTGGGGTGAAGAGATGTTTGTGTCTCCTCAGGAAAAGTTAATGAAATGCTCTGCTGTGCTAGAGCATTTGAACCGGAGAGTAGCCTGAACACAGAGACAGGAAACTAGGCACCTAAGCATTGATGCTGCTGCCAAGGGTTTGGCGGAGACAAGCTTCTTCTGGTGGGGCATTCCCCCTGGTTACAGAGGCAAACATGTCAAATTCTAGTAATTTCATTACACAGCATATAGTCAGAAGGCCTTCACAAACAGAGCACCAGACCATTGTGAGAGAGTCAGAGCACTAGAAAGCATCAGATTTTGCTGAGGGACTCAATCATTGAGAAACAGACAGGGATATTGATAAGCAACAAAGATGACAAATTCCTGCTTCTTCAGTTGACAAAAAGATCTAGGGGCTTTTTCTCTTGCCATTAGAGCCCCTCTTCAGCTGACCTGTCCAGACATAAAGTTTAGCCAAGGCCTATCCTGGATATAACTCAGCCAGGAGCTCTTCTTTGTTTAAGGTGACCAATCCAAAATTAGGGGAAAAGGACCTCCCCTATATCACCAAGAATGCTTAAAAGACCCAAGACCCTTTGGGGCTTTGGATGTTTTGGTTTCTTAATCCCCTCTCTACCTGTGGAGAGCTTCTTTCTCTATGTGACCGTGTGTATGTGTTTCCTTAACTTTTAATAGTTTGTTACCTATTGTATCTGAGATTCTTCCTGCCTTTGAATTCTTTAATTGACAGAGAAAATGAACCCAGTCAAGACCTGAAGATTTCTTTTGAGGACCACAAAGTCCTTAAGATCAGCACTTGGCAAGACAAACCAGAGAGGAACCAGAGAGTTTTAAAGAAGGAGGGACAGCCAAAGTGAGTGTGGCTGAGCCCTGAGGCTGATCATTTTATTTTATCCTCTCTAACAAGGACACTCCACTTAGACACCTCTCCTTATAACTCTTTTGTCAGTGTCTCAACACTTTCTCATCCTGCTCCCAGGCTGATGTGTGCTTCTTTTAGCCATGGACTGCTCACTCCCTGAGCTGGAAAACAAAAGCCAGTCCAAGCAGCAGCAGGTGCACCAAACCTGAGGCCAAGGGGAGGACCAGTCTGCCAACAGTCTTCAGCTGGTGGCTAAGTCGTTCAGTTTTTGACAGCTTGATGCATATATACATTTTTTGTCATTTAAATGACATAGTTCACATTCAAAACTAGCATCAGTGGTTGTGAAAAAGTTCTTTAAGCAAATTAAACTATTTGGTGACCAAAGACAGACACTAAAACTGCTGTATTGATCGGAGGCCTGACTGACACTGCTGTGAAAAAAGTTTCTTTTTCCCTCTGTCTCAGGCTTTTGTGGTAGACTGATGGTCACACGATGGAGGCAAATAATGTTAAGTTTAACTTTGTCTTCTCTCCCTGGACACAGCATCCTCCCTTTCAGTTCCCTCAGAAAACCTGAGACCTTTGGATTCGGGCAAAGGAAAAACAAAGAGGGGTTTGGGGCCCCAGTCATAATGGTGGGTACTGGCACTGCCTTAGACCACGTGGCCCCCACGTGGGTTGCTTTCCTAATTGGGTAAAAGGATATGGTTTTAAATCAGTATTAACTATTTTTAACAAGTTTTTTTAAGGAACTTAAATTCTAGCCAGCACAGTGAGTCACACACCGTGCACCATGCTCAGATGGGACATATGCTCTCAGAGCAACAGGGGCACTTGTAGGCATTAAGCATGCCTCCATTATTTCTCACTTCTTTTATGGGTTCCTTTCCCAGTAACAGCTTGTTCTTAGGAATGAGGGGTCATCAAAACGGGACTCAGGTGACAGGGCATGACATTCACAATTACAGTTGGTGGTAAGATGCACACTCTCTTTGGATTGAGACCATAGAGTTCCTTCCTCCATTTCTTTGCTTTGCTATTTTTTGCCTACATGCCTCAGGATAATTTCTCCTGCTAGAACAGTCTAACTTAAGGATGCTTTTTCTTAAGAAAACAAGCATTCTGTTATCATGTCTTTCCAAGTTCTTTTAGGTGTTACTATTTACTGTGTTCCTTAGTATCTAGCTATGTCAATGGAAAAGCACAACTGTCACCTTAAAGGGGATAAGAGATATTTTATTCTTGAGCCAAATATAAGTGACCTTGACCCAGGAACACAGATTCAGGTTGTCCCAAATTCCTTCCAATGGGAAAGCAATTTCAGGAAGTTTTTATAGTAACAGAACAAAGAAAAGAAGTCATAAATCAAGATGCTTTTCAGGTACATCGGTGGAAACACGAAGCAAGTAGATACAGAAAAAGAGAATTCCCAGCTAATGGCCTCAGATGCCATCTGATGACACACAGCCTTTTGGTTGGTGGAAGCTAAGGCTTTAAGTTGATACAGTCCAAAAGGTTTTTATCTGTTAGTCACAGGATATTACAAGGAGTGGCTAGTTAGAGGATTAAAGATAGCTTAAGATAAATTGTAATTAGGCTTTGGACCTGTAGCATTCCAAACTCTCCATAATCACCGAAGTTCTAATCAGTTGATAGGCCTTTGCGGAAAATTCATTTTCAAGATACAGTTTTGGGGGAAATTGTATTCACATTTATGAATACTTAATCCAAGATGACATATGGTAAATTATGTTACTTTTCTAATCCCTGCAGCCTGACTGATAACACCTTTACAAGAGAAATTCACCCTGAGCACTATCATGCTCGCCTCCTATCTAGTTTGAAAATTGTAATGTGGACCAACAGATTAAAAACTTTTAGAAAGAAGTCAAGAGGGATCACTTAAGGTGATAGTGAATGTTCAACCTATAAGGGATCTGAGACCCTCTTTAACTTTATAATCATTAAAAGTTTCTAATTTCCTTGATACATGTAGACTAATATTTACTTCAGAGGGTTTTTGGATGATGGATCTAATATTGACAGGTTAAAACTCAGTCAGACAAAATACAAAAAATTCACTAAATTCACAAGGTAAGAAAGAGTCACATCAGTGAGAGCTACTAAATCCAAATAGGCTCACCTTCTTTATGGCCACCAGTAAAGAAGGACAAGATATAGGAGGCTCAGGTCTCCTCAGAGAGAGGAGCGACTAATACCCCAGGCCTCTTTTTTCCTTGTGATCACTCATGAGGGAGGAGAATAGTAAGGGAATCTCCAGAGGACACTCTGGCAGGCAAGGCAAGGAAAACATGGAGACGTTTCAATACATGTTCCTTTTTCCTTACAGGAAGTAATAAAGCATCCCTAGATGTCTATAGTAAAAGCAGCTAATGGAATGAAATGTTTTATTTTGTCACAGCAACAAAATGTTACGAATATGGACTAATATGAATGAATAATGAATATCAAGATTTTATTGATTACTTAGTGAACCAAGAGGACTGATCAAAAGAATAAATAAAAGACTGTTTACAGTCCATGAGAGGATAGAGAGACCCTCTGCCTAAAAAATACCCATAATCAGTAACTTCAGCATCACAGTTTTAACAGGGTTTCTTAGTTGATTGCTGCTGGAAGTTGTAAACACCAATTTGATAATGTTTGCTATGAATCTACTGCTTCTCTCTATTTGCTACTTAAACTCATTTGAAACCTAAAGCATGGTTTTGGTAGACCACTCTCTGTACTGTCTAAAGCAAAAAAAACAAAAAAAAACAAAAAAAAAACTATGATGCGTTTTCTATAAGGTTTACCTGGGAACTTACAAAGCCCCAAAGTTTAACAGTATGTACTCAGGTAATACTAATTTACTACATTAGCCTATATATGTAGTTTGGATTCAACTTTATGGGGAGCGGCCCAAGACAAAGGCCAAGGCCAAGATGGCGCCGATATCCGGCTACCGTTTTGGTAAACAACCTAGACAGAGCATGCGCTGGAAATCCCCAACGCCTAGGTCCAAGAGACCTATATCAGGTGATCCAATAGAATCCTGCCACGTACTAGGCGAGGACAATTTCCTATATAAGTGACTGACTGCCCCGGGTTGGGGTCGGTCTTCTGGTTCTCCTAAGAGCTTGCTGCACTGCCTGTCGAGATGCAATAAAGCCTTACTGCAGAAGAATCCTGATCGTGTCGTCGTCCTTCCTCGACCGATACCGCTGGTGGGGTGGTCGTCGGTGGGCGCACGACAGCTGGTGCCGAGACCCGGGAACATCGGACACCGCCAGAGACCCCCTGGAACAGGGAGGATTCAGAACTGCAGGGACCCGCGTCAGAGAGGTATGTCCTTTCTTGAATCTGGGTTGCTCTCTTTGGGACTTGATGCCTTTTGGGCCGGAGCGGTAGAAGGGACCCTGATAGCGGTCGGAGCTACTGTCCTGTTACTTTTGATTCTGTTTTGCTTCCATAAATATCACTGCTGAGCTCGGACAAGTCCGGCGTAGATAAGTCGGCGGAGCTCACGATCGAAGGCGGTTTCGCTTTCATTCTCTCTCCGTAAGTCGGATGTAGATAAACCGCTGGGAGACAAGAACACAGTGCCGCCTCTCAGTCAAAGGTAGATAACTTGCATGGTGGCTAAGCACTTTGTTACGGATTTTTTAGCACCCATTCTCTTTTCTCTCGAAGTTCTAGTTATTCAGGGAATAGTTATTACCATCACCTTTATAATCTTATATTGGGACCGAGACAATGGGGTCCACCCAGTCTCTGGAGACGGCCCTACAACAGGTCCTGAAACAGCGCGATATCAAGATCGCGCCCAGAACCCTGAAGAACTTTATCAAGGAGATAGATAGAGTCGCTCCCTGGTATACCTGCTCCGGCTCCTTGACTTTGGCATCTTGGAATAAATTAGGAAGAGATTTGGATTTAAAGCAGGAGCAGGATGACCTTAGGTTGGGTACTAAAGCCATTTGGAAGCTTATTAAGAATTGCTTACAGGACAGAGACTGTGAATACATGATTAAGGAAGGACAGCGTTCCCTTGAGAGCATACAAGAAGGCTTATCAGAAACTGAGCGGGGAGACAGGGTTGGCGCCAGGAGGAAGGTGATTCCTACAGCCCCTGAGGCTGGATTTCCCGAAAAGGGAGGGGAGAGAAAAGAGGAAGGTAACAGAGACCCCCCCTATAACCCAGATATGGGGGAGGGACAAAGATTGTACCCTTTTCAAATGCGTCATGCCTTTGAAAGGTGCTTTGACACTGACTGCGAGAATTATTCCTCGGAGTCAGAAGGAAGCTCTACTGAGGAGGAAAGAGCCCCGCCAAACGAAATGAGGGCAAAGGAGAAAAATAATCCATCTCGGCCCCTGGGTAGAATGAGACATCCGGCAGCATGCTCCTTGCTGCCTCCCACATTGATCGGGGAGATCTCTAGAGCTTTTCCTGTTTTTGAGGTTACTAACGATCAACAGGAAGTGAATAGAGTTTATGCCCCGGTGGAGTACGGCCAGATAAAAGAGCTGGCAGAAGCGGTGAGAAAATATGGGACCACCGCCAATTTCACTTTAGCTCAACTAGATAGGCTGGCAAAAGATGCTATGACACCCTCAGATTGGCAGATGATAGCCAAGGCAACGCTCCCTAACATGGGGCAGTATTTGGAATGGAAGGCCTTATGGCAGGAGGCCTCCCAGGAACAGGCTAGGCTTAATGCCACAGCCATTACGCCTGAACAAAGGGCCTGGACTTTTGAAATGCTTACAGGGCAGGGGGATTACGCAAACAATCAGAACAATTTACCTTGGGGAATATATGCACAAATCTCCAGATTGGCCATTAAGGCCTGGAAACTCCTGTCGAGGAAAGGAGGAATAGACAATCAACTTACAAAGATCATACAGAGAAATGATGAACCGTTCTCGGAGTTTGTGGCCAGGTTAAGTGAGGCAGCAACTAGGATTTTTGGGGACTCAGAGCAAATTAACCCCCTAATAGAACAATTGATTTTTGAACAAGCCAACCAGGCATGTCGCGCTGCCATCGCTTCGCGGCGGGCAAAAGGGCTGACCGATTGGATTAGGATCTGCCGAGATGTCGGTGGCCCCCTCACCAATGAGGGACTGGCCGCGGCCATATTAAGACAGTCCCGTCCGGAGCAGAAAACTAAAATGACTTGCTTTTGCTGTGGCAAAATGGGGCATTTCAAAAGGGATTATAAGGTAAAATTAGATCGGGACAAAAGAGACATTAGGCCCCCAGAAAATAGAGGAGGAGCCTCAATAAATCCCAAATTATGTCAAAGATGCCGAAAGGCTATCACCCTGAAGCACAATGCCGGTCCATTAAAGATATTGAAGGCAACTTGCTTCCTCAACTTTCAAAAAACGTGAGGAGGGGCCCAAGAGCCTGGGGCCCCATAAAAACTCAGGCTCCGGACCAGTTGCCACAAGAGGCCATGGGCCAGGATTGGACTTGCGTGCCCCCTCCAGAATTCTATTAACAACAGAAACAGGGGTCCAACCTGTGCCTCTAACTTTAGATCAGGAGGCCCCAAAAGGAGGGCTTGGTTTAGTTCTGAACAATACATGCTTTTATAGTCTTTGCTGGAACGCTTCAGAATATTCTTTAGCACTGGTTACCAGAATTCCCCGATATGTTCCGGTCCTGGTAGAGGCCCCTGGAACTTTGTCCTTATTCAGGACAAAAAGAGATTTTGGCATTTCTGCTGTCATAGCAACAATTGTGGCAGCCACGGCAGTCACGGCCGCGGTTACCGCCTCTGCTATAGCACTGTCTACGTCCACACAGACGGCCTCTACTTTAAATACTTTGTCCACACGGGTCACTGAGGCCCTGGATGTCCAAATTGCCTCCAACAGTCATGTCAAAGGAGGTTTAATGTTGGTTAATCAGAGGATTGATTTGGTTCAAGAACAAATAGACATCCTCTGACAATTAGCCCAATTGGGATGTGAATATAAAACTGCTGGTCTATGTATTACCTCTGTCCAGTTTGAGAATTTTACAGCCGCTGCTAACCTGTCCAGGATCCTATCCAGTCAACTTACCACTAATTGGAGCGCGACCTTTGAAGAAAATCTGCGCCAGCTACGCACGGCAGTGACCTTCATCAATTCTACTCGTGTTGACCTTTCTCTTATCTCGGGACTTTCCTCTTGAGTCACATCTGTTGTGACTTATTTTAAGGAATGGGCGGGGGTGGGCACTTTACTAATTGTCCTCTGCATAGGAATGGCAATATTGTTTTGGATTCTTTGTAAATTTAAAAAACAGTCTAAAAGAGATAAAGTGATCATATCACAGGCCTTGTTGTCATTGGAGCCCGAATTCCCCACAATGGTATGGCTGAATATGCTTAATAATAAATAAAATCCTTCAGAGAGATGGCCCTTGCACCCCTAGGGGAAGTAACCCCATTGCACTGGGAGGGGCTCTCCCTGGAGAAGGGATTCACACAGAGGCTGTCGAGCAAAGCATCGCACAGGCAAGAACCTTGCCTGCGAGATATACGATGTTGCAAGGAGTTCTTCATCAATTTTCCCCCCTCCAAAAAAGATGAAGGATTTAAGGAGAACACTGTCCCTATCTCGGTCTCGCTGTAATCCATGCTATACAGTCACACCCTACTTTAATAAAGAAAAAGGGAGGAATTATGGGGAGCGGCCCAAGACAAAGGCCAAGGCCAAGATGGCGCCGATATCCGGCTACCGTTTTGGTAAACAACCTAGACAGAGCATGCGCTGGAAATCCCCAACGCCTAGGTCCAAGAGACCTATATCAGGTGATCCAATAGAATCCTGCCACGTACTAGGCGAGGACAATTTCCTATATAAGTGACTGACTGCCCCGGGTTGGGGTCGGTCTTCTGGTTCTCCTAAGAGCTTGCTGCACTGCCTGTCGAGATGCAATAAAGCCTTACTGCAGAAGAATCCTGATCGTGTCGTCGTCCTTCCTCGACCGATACCACTGGCGGGGTGGTCGTCGGTGGGCGCATGACACAACTTTCCTTTATTAAGCTGGTAACATTATATTCTGAACCAAACCACACAATTGCCATCTTCATAAGACCAGTTGTATCTGCTTACAAAAATCATAAGTGGGTTTTATGACTGTTAATGTTCCTTCATAGAAGGAGGAAAGTAAACATCACTTAATTCCCGCAGGAAAAAAAATTACAACAGGTATAAATTTATTTGGTAATGTCATTATATCTCATGGTATTAAAAATTCAATACATAAAAAGTTAAAAGGATGTAAAAATGAAAATAGTTTAATAGAGAAGAAAGATTAAGATGGCTGAATGTTTCCAGAATGAAAAAGAGTAATTAAAAAGTTTGTACAAGTCACAAAATTCTGAGTAAATTAAGGTACATAACAGATAAGATATAGAGATGATAGATGATCTTATAACTTCTAAGGTCAAAGCTCAATAAAATCTATTCTTGGTAACAATTACAAGGACTGGCTTAAAAAACAAAATATATGTCTAATCAAGTTTAATTTTAAAGACTTTGGTTTTACTCAAGTATAAACACTCTGTTTGATTGGTGCTAATGGTGCTGAGAAAGTGAGATTAGATCAGATTTCCCCTGGCTTTGCTGCTCAGAAGCACTTTCACTGCTCTCCTGAGAGTATTTAATGGAACCTGAGTGTTTGAAGCTTACACAGAGTGTATATACGGTAAGTGCCCAAGCAGTGCAAAACCCACCATTATAGTAAGAAAACAGCACAGTATGCCAAAGGCCATGGTGACTGGCCCAGTAACAGACTACCTTTGATGCACGCAAAGACGGGGTGGGGTGGGGGGCTGTCGGTCATGATGAGTGTATTGTCCTTAAGGTGCAAGGAGGGGAGGGATGATTGCATTCAAGCTTTATTTAAATGTTACATAGTAGTTAAAATTCCAGATCAGTGTAACTGACCTTCTGAGTGTTTAATAACCATACTTGGGAATCTATATTAATGTGATCAGAGGGATTAAAGGACAATGTTCTGCCTCTTGCTCTCCAAGGTCAACTAGGTCCCAGAAAATTATGGCATATCTCTGGAAATGTCTTGTAGCTTAGGTAATCACCTGTCTTAATGTTCAGAGGGGCCATAGAGACCACTGGGTGGGCTCTAATCAGTGTCCATTCTACAATGTGGAGGGTCAACGCAGGAAAAAGCTCCTTACTGCTTCCAAGTGAAGCCATGGTCAAGTAAGGCCTCATGTAGATTAAACAACATAGATGATAACAAGAAGGATATAGGGGGAAGAGGCATCTCCCAAGCCCAAGTGACAGCCTGTGTTGACAGCAAAAAAAAACCCCCCAAAACAAAAATAATGGTTAATTTTGGCCACCTGCATGGTCTTAAACACCCAACCAGAAAATATAACCAATGGTTAAAATAATTGATATATTTCTTTAGTAGTCCAAGGATTGCGTTTCCCAGGTACTTGGTTTAATTTCATAAGGGATATTATTTAGATAATTATTTCTCACTAATGTTTTTCTTAAGAAGGAAAATGTCTCCCAGATATAAGCCTTCAGATCTTGGTGCTCAGTTCATCCCTGCAGCACCTACCTGTGGCCAAGACATAGGCTTACTATTGTCTTTATCTAAAAATTAAATGATGGCTACATTTCTCCTCTTTCTCCCTCTCTAGAGGGCATCTGGGAGGGAACTCAACTGTGATTCTAGCCACTCCAAAGGCTATCAAAATGCCTAGAAGCAGATTCTGAGTTCATCACTCTAGTCCACCTTTGGAGGCTAAATGAAAAACAAGGAGGATCCAGATAGATGGATGCTTTTGGGAATTCAGCAAGAGAGTCTAACAGACTTTGATTTGGACATTTAAAAAAAATCCTCCATTCTGGCTTTTCTAGGTTCCCTGCCTATAATTTTTAATGCTAATAACTTGCCTTTACCTCTCACATCTGTTTCCAAATACAACTCAAGGACTTTCCTTGCCACAGCTGTGATGTACTTTAGAGCTCCTTTAATTAGGCTCATTGAAGAAATAGCCCAACTGCCACACCCATTGCCCCCCATTTAGCTGGAGGAAGCCAGATTGGTCTTCATACCAATCCCATTCTGGCAGTTAAGGTAACCTCTTAAGAGAGGGGATTGATGGAAACAGGAAATAGAAACTGGATAGAGAGTTCAGGGCAAGAACCCCAGAAACAACCGTTCCAGAAATGTCTTTGGCTCTTTAGCCAGAAATGCCAAAAGGGAACTCTGCTTTCTTATCAACACTCCTGCCTACAGGCTATACATGAGGGTAGAAACTAAAACTCCAGTCTGGACAATAATTTCTTCAGGTTAAAAAAAAAACAAACTTTGAAACTAGATCTCTAGATTTTCATGGTAAAAATAAGTTAAATCTGTTCCCCAATTTCAGCCCATTTCCTCATTCTTTGAGGCTTGACCTCCTTAACAAAATTAGTGAATATCAGAGATACACAATAGTGTCTTTGTGTGTGTGTGTGTGTGTGTGTGTGGTGTGTTTGCACGTGTGCAGGTGTGGGTACATGTGTACATGTGTGTATGTGTCTGTATAAGTCAGAAGACAACCTCTGCATTTTTCCTCAGGCACTGTCCACCTTGTTTTTTTTAAGACATTGTCTCTCATTGGTCTGTAACGACAAATAATGTTGGCAGGCCAGCCAGTGAGCCTCAGGGATCCACCTGGCTCTCTCTCCCCAGCTCTGAGATGACAAGCTATTGCTACCACCTGCATTTTTTAAAACAGTGGGTTCTAGGGATTGAACTCCAAACCTCATACTTACAAAGCAAAGCACTTTGTTGTCTGACCCTGCTCCGAACCTGAGTCTGTCTTCTAGAAGACCGTTTCAGGATACGATTTGGAGAGAAACACTAGAAGCTGAGCCTTGAGGTAGACATCAAATGAGAGGCTCTGCAAGATGAAGGGCCTGATGTGAAGAGGGTTCTGGCCTGGCCAGAAGTGTGTGAATGGTAATGCTGCTTGGGAAGCAAGATTGTCATAACAGTGACCAACTTCATGGGGTGTGGATAAATCTGAAGAACTCAGATTAGATGTCAGATTTCTGATTTACTGGATGGCAGAACCATAACTTTGGCTCTAAAGAACTGCTGAGGCAGGAAAGCAGGGTTATAGGGTGCTAGATCACAAGCCTAGCTGCCTCTCTCCCTGTTCCAGAAATCAGGCCATGCCCCTTGCCTCTCTCTCTGTCTCTCTCTCTGTCTCTCTCTCTCTCTCTTTCTGTCTCTGACAGAAAGTTAAGAAGCCATGCTGTACTATGGTCTTGTAGCTTCACCCTCTTGAAACAGCAAGAGAAAGATATAGCCCTAACAAGTGTTCAGCTTCATGAGTGGAGCCAGCTTAAACTGGCTAAATCACATGGTA